CGAAAGCTAAAGAAGTGCACTTTAAGACAATGAATGAGATTTATCCATGTAAAGAACTATTGCGCCTTAGATTTAATGTTGATGTTAATGAATGTACATTCTGTGAAAATAACATTGAAACTCAGGAACACCTTTTCTTCTCATGTAACATCTCTGATAGGTTTTGGAAAGATCTTTATCAGTGGTTCTTGGAAAATAACTTGTCTTTGTCACCCCTAAGTTATGAAAATATTCAATTTGGTCTTGTCTTGGAGGACGCAAAAACTGAGTTTCTATTAAACAATATCATTATACTTGCAAAATACTTTATACATAAATGTAAATTCATGTCTGTCACACCTCATTTTCATGTTCTGTTGAAGGAGCTTGCTATCTTTTTGGACTCTTTGAAAGAAGTTGGATCTAAGAATGCTGAATGCCTTTACAGTGTGTTATCTGCTTTGTCTTTCAATCTGACCCCAGAAAGTGATAATTGAAATTTTTTATTTTATTTTTATTTATTTATTTACTTATTTTTTACCCTTTAATTTTATGGCTTTCTCTTGTTATTTGGTTATGGTTTCCTAGTTATCTGTTTATGTTACACTTGTTTACACTCAGTCTAAAACGTAACTGTGCATGCTCACTGCTTATCAGATTTGTTTTAATTAAAAAAGAAAAAAAAATTACAATGAAAAAAAAAAAAAATTTAAACCGGAGCTTTACTCTGACGACTTCCGCTGTTTTTCAGCTCCGGATCACTACAACTCCCAGCAGCCGCCGCGCGGCCGGAAGTAGTCAAACCTCCGTCGGTAAAGAAGAGGAGCTGCTGCAACGGAAGGTAAAAACAGCTGATCGATTCTGATCGAGTATCAGTTTTAAACACAACATCTGTCGGATCAATACACAGGATAAATGTCCGCGTTTTATGACGTCACTGCTCCCGCTTTTTTTCAACGTGAAACAAATAGTTACATCCGGTTTAAACTCTGACGTTATCCGTTAGCCTGCTAGCCTGCTAACTAGCCTCCTGCTGTCAGACAGACAAAATCCTCCAGCTGTGACACAAAATACACAATAAATACACACGAAATACCTACAGTAAATACACAGGTAACACACACATGATACACAGGAAATATATAATAAATACACAGGAAATACACAGTTAATACAATAAAGGCATACAAAATAAACTCAAAATGCAGTGAACACACTGTACTCAGCAGTCTGTTGATGTGTGTGACTGAGGCTGCTTGTGAACAGCTGATCTGCTGAATGTGTGAACGACACACACCTGTTCGATCGAGTCAGAGTCTGAGGACACCTGGACAGATGGAGACGTGCAGTCCTGGAGGAAGTGACAGGGACAGAAACGTGTCTTTATTGTTCCTGTTTGCATCGACAGGTTAAATAAAGTATGTGCTGTGTGTCCAGATGATGAAGAGTAAAGCAGACGAGGAAGACTACTGGAACAGCTCCAAGTTTAAAGCCTTCACCTTCGATGATGAAGATGACGAGTTCAGCAGGGTAAGAAACTGCACAGTGTGATGAGTAAGTCTGCAGGTGTGTCAGTCACTGTGTAACCTTCAGGTGTGTCAGTCACTGTGTAACCCTCAGGTGTGTCAGTCACTGTGTAACCTTCAGGTGTGTCAGTCACTGTGTAACCTTCAGGTGTGTCAGTCACCTGTGTAACCCTCAGGTGTGTCAGTCACCTGTGTAGCCTTCAGGTGTGACATTGTGTTTGTCAGTTAAAGGAGTCGCGGCAGGCGGTGAACAGCATCCGGCGCCTGGTGGAGGATGAGGATGATGATGATGATGATGAGGTGGTGAAGGTCAGCTGGAGCGGGGAACCTGTCGGGAGTAAGACTCTTATTATTGTTAATCACCTGTGCAGAATCCTGAGCTGCGATTGGCTGCTGGGTGTGAATCATTGTCCTAATTGTTCTCAGGTATCTCCTGGTCTGTCAGTGAGACAGCAGCGTCCAATCAGAGGACAGACAGAGAGCCCGCCTTCCCCAAAATCAGCACAGAGACAACGACGCTCAGCAAGAGTAACTCAGGGTACTCTCTGAGCTCTCTGTTCAAAGGTGAGACAGGTGGACAGACAGGTGGACAGACAGGGGGACAGAGGTGTGAGACAGGAACATGAATGAAACAGTTGTCTCTGTGTCTCTGCAGGAAAAACTAAAGGAGGGAACTTCCAGTCGTTCACTGACTGTGAGTCTGAAACTACTGAACACTGTGTGAATGAGTGAGGGAGGGAAGGTGAACGGATGAGGATGAGTGGGTCAGAGAGTTAATGTTTGGTTGGAGGAGAGAGTGAGCAAATGGACTGGTAAATGAATGAGTGACTTAAAAATGAAAGCATGAATGGACGAATGAGTGAATAGATTGACGAATTAATTAAGTGACTGAGTGAATCAGTGAGTAAACAGATGAATGAATGAATCAGACTGATGTTGATATTTTTGTGTGTGTTAGCGTTCAGTGACTCGTCGGTTCGACTCTACGCTCCTGAACTCCGAAAACCCAAATCTGAGTACAAGGTAACAACAAGAAGATAATCTGATTAAAGATTGATAATCTAATTTAACTCTGATAATCTGATTAAAGTCTGATAATATGACTAAAGACTGATAATCTGATTAAAAACTGATAATCTGACTAAAGACTGATAATCAGATTAAAAACTGATAATCTGACTAAAGATTGATAATCTGATTAAAGACTGATAAATTGACTAAAGACTGATAATCTGACTAAAGACTGATAATCTGATTAAAGACTGATAAACTGACTAAAGATTGATAATCTGATTGAAGGCTGATAAACTGACTAAAGACTGATAAACTGATTAAAGACTGATGATCTGACTAAAGACTGATAAACTGACTAAAGACTGATAATCTGATTAAAGCCTGATAATCTGACTAAAGACTGATAATTTGACTAAAGACTGATAAACTGATTAAAGACTGATAATCTGATTAAAGACTGATAAACTGACTAAAGACTGATGATCTGACTAAAGACTGATAAACTGACTAAAGACTGATAATCTGATTAAAGACTGATAAACTGACTAAAGACTGATAATCTGATTAAAGACTGATAAACTGACTAAAGACTGATAATCTGATTGAAGACTGATAATCTGATTAAAAACTGATAATCTGACTAAAGACTGATAATCTGATTAAAAACTTATAATCTGACTAAAGATTGATAATCTGATTAAAGATTGATAATCTGATTAAAGACTGATAAACTGACTAAAGACTGATGATCTGACTAAAGACTGATAATCTGACTAAAGACTGATAATCTGATTAAAAACTGATAAACTGACTAAAGACTGATAATCTGATTGAAGACTGATAATCTGATTAAAGCCTGATAATCTGACTAAAAACTGATAATCTGACTAAAGACTGATAATCTGATTAAAAATTTATAATCTGACTAAAGACTGATGATCTGACTAAAGACTGATAAACTGACTAAAGACTGATAATCTGATTGAAGACTGATAATCTGATTAAAGACTGATAATCTGACTAAAGACTGATAATCTGATTAAAAATTTATAATCTGACTAAAGATTGATAATCTGATTAAAGATTGATAATCTGATTAAAGACTGATAAACTGACTAAAGACTGATAATCTGATTAAAGACTGATAATCTGACTAAAGACTGATAATCTGATTAAAAACTTATAATCTGACTAAAGACTGATAAACTGACTAAAGACTGATAATCTGATTAAAGATTGATAAACTGATTAAAGACTGATAAACTGCTTAACAACTGATAATCTGACTAAAGATTGATAAAGTGGCTAAAGACTGATAATCTGATTCAAGACTGATAAACTGACTAAAGATTGATAAACTGACTAAAGACTGATAATCTGACTAAAGACTGATAAACTGGCTAAAGACTGATAAACTGACTAAAGATTGATAATCTGATTAAAGACTGATAAACTGACTAAAGACTGATAATCTGATTAAAGACTGATAAACTGGCTAAAGATTGATAATCTGATTAATGATGGATAATATGATCACAAACTGAGGCTGCATTTCCTTTTTTTTCTGGTGTACTAATGATGATGTCATCATGTGATGTCAGGATTATGTCAGTGATTGGTCGCCTGAGGAGACAGTCCACAGGATGCAGCAGGGAAAGGTAACGCCCCCACCTGTCCGTCAACATGTCTGTGGCTCTGTGATTGGCTGGAGGAGGAGTGTCACAGTGTGTATTTGTACTGTGTGTGTTGCAGGTTGTATCTCTGGAGAAGTTTCGGTCTCTTCAGGACAAACTGCTGCTGCTGGATTACGCCGTCAGCGCACACGATGGAAACGTCATCACTGCTGTAACTTTATTTACAACTTGATCCTCAACATTATCTAAACTTTATCAACACCACCTGACAACATGTTTTTTTTCTTACAGGTGTTAATTTATTTGAAGAGGACTCTGAGTAAAGGTGAGTCCGCTGGTTCAGACTCTGTACCGTGAGACAGGACATGTCGTTAGGGAGGTAACGTTAGCTTTAACCCAGGGTTTTCAGGGTACACTGCCGCGCTAACTGCACACCTGACCTGCTCCAGGCAGGTTACATTGGAGATATCAGAATTAAAGCTCCGCCTACTGACCGATCAGTTTTGTTGGAAAATGGCGTGTGTAGTACCAGTCAGACCTGGTCCTGGATCAGTCAGATCTGGTCCTGGATCAGTCTGATCTGGTCCTGGATCAGTCAGTCTGATCTGGTCCTGGATCAGTCAGACCTGGTCCTGGATCAGTCAGATCTGGTCCTAGGTCAGTCAGATCTGGTCCTGGATCAGTCAGACCTGTTCCTGGATCAGTCTGATCTGGTCCTGGATCAGTCAGTCTGATCTGGACCTGGATCGGTCAGACCTGGTCCTGGCTCAGTCAGACCTGGTCCTGGATCAGTCAGACATGGTCCTGGATCAGTCTGATCTGGTCCTGGATCAGTGTGTCTGGTGTTGTTGACTCTTTGTGTTTCTCTGTTCAGAGGTTTTGTTTCGGGAGCTGGAGTCCAGACAGACGGCTCTGAGACACTTCATCCACTATCTGACTGAAACCAAAGACCAGAGGCTGCTGCTGGAGCTGCTCAGGTCTCTGCTCACACCTCTACCTGTATCTGTGTGAACACCTGGACACACCTGGGTAACGTACATGTACAGTATTTATCTGATGTGTCTTCTTCCTGTCCTCCTCAGAGCTCTGGGCAGGACAGAGGACGCAGCGGTACGTTCACACACTATAAACACACCAGCAGTACGCAATACTGCTACACATTTAAAGTATCAAAGGTACAAATCAGACCAACAGGAAGCTGATGTCATTTCCTGTGTGTCTTAATGGCAAAAGCTGCTGCAGTACAAAGAACACCTGAGCATTGCAGACGAAAACAAGAGGCGGGACTTCCTGAAGACCTGCATCAGGTGAGAGACTCCTGCAGGCAAGCGTACTACAGCACGTATATCATCTGACCTGATGAAGTGTACTTACTTTGACACGTATGCTGATACTCTGACCTGATGAAGTGTACTTACTTGGGCTCATTGATTGTTTCTTTCCAGTCTTCCGTTTTCTCCGGAGGACTCTGCTCATGTTCAGGATCACTACACTCTGCTGGAGAGACAGATCATCATCGAGGTCAGGAATGCAAAACCAGTTTGATTTCCGTCACCCAGTCCACTTCACCTATCCCAGTGTGCCAAAAATGAACCCAGGAGTCATTCAGGTGCTATCCCAGTTTAACTCCAGTTTGCCTTGTTGGCAGGCAACTGACCGGCAGGCTGAGCGCGGAGGGAAGGTGGAAATCTTCCAGAAGTTTCCTAGAAGAGCTTCGATTCTCAACATGCCGCTGATCACCACCCTGTACTACTGCTGCTTCTATCACTACACAGAGTCTGAGGTCAGTTTAACTAAACCAGACTGTAGTGGTTTCCACCACTACACAGAGTTGAACCAGATCAGTTGAACCAGATCTGTTGAATTACATCAATTGAGCCAGATTACT